CACCGCCTATAGCGGCCAATAGGGTCTGAGTCACTGAGACAATTACCCAATAACCGAGGTGATCCACGGATCTAAGGTGGAGGGTTATGGTAGAAGAAGCTATGGTCAAGAGGTGGAAGGAGAGGAAGAACGCTCGGGGAAAAGCCAAGGTGAAAGGGCATGATCCGGTTTATTACGATGGAATTTACTAATGCAAATGCTTTGAAGACTTGGTCGCTCTTGTATGTGAGACTATCTCCTAGATGTCAGCTGCGGAAGTCCTGCTCACTTTTCCGGGCACGTGTACCCCACATAAAGCTTCCGCGGTTCCGGGGGCAATTTGCCGTTACTTCCGCCTAAGCAGCCCGGTGGTTCTTGCCGAATACTGGCACAAAGGGGGCTGCCCCCCGTAGCTAGGAAGGCCGAACTTAAACCTGAATACCTTTCCCTTGTGCAATACCTTGCTACTATCCTAAATCTCAACTCTCTTATCATTCGAAACTCACCGCGAAATTTCATCCTCATACGTGATGATCGCATCCTCAGTATGCTCAGGCGCCATTTGAATACTGTGATGAGTCCTCCCGGCCAGGACGGCCCCTGTTAACGTTAACGTTTGTGGTTTATCATCAGGGGCTACGGCATTGTAACACCCACTGTTTCAACCCCTGAGGGGTAAGCCATTCTGAGCTGTGGCGGTGCAATCCTGAGCACGGCTTGGCGAGCCCTGGGGCGCGCCTGAGTAGCGCGAGCACAGCCCGGAGCATGTGCAGGTATTGCAGGGTGTTATTCAAGGATTTCATGCTGGCACTGTCAAAGCTCGCCGAATCCATCTGATCTGGCAGCTCGATATGCTCGGTAAGTAGCGTCCAAATGAACAAGGTCACGCAATCACGTACCGAGCCGAGGACGAAGTGAATGAAGAAAACCTTACCAGAACCCTCCCCATAGGGAGAGCCATTGGCCTGATTAGAGAAGCGCTTCTCAAGACAGACAAGACAAAGATGTCGAAGTGATAGGAATAAACACACCTCGCACAGGATATGTGGTGCGCTGTAAGGATGAACAATCAGCGGCGACGGCAAAAACACACACGGAATGGCTGCAGGAACTCGGCAACAACACCAAATACGCGACGAAGAGGCGGAGTCAATCGAATCATGCTATCACTACCAACACCACCCATATATCAGCTTCAATGCCTCACCGGTCGAGAGGCTGGTCAATAGCTGTTGCCTGTGCGGCGGCCGTTACGGCGACCACCGTCGAGAGTCGATAGGCTCGCTTGAGACCAGGGCAGAAGAGAAGTTGATGTGGCTGCCGGATTGAAGAGCCTTCCTGTTCGAGCTCCCCCGCAGTTACCAGAACGCAACGCTTCTCGAATAGTAATCCTACTAATCCTATTTTGTGGGCCTCCTATAATCTAGAGTGTCCTATTGTTTCCACTATTCTTGTAGACTAATAAGCCTAGACGTCGACACGCTAATCACAAGCTGGGCAATGTCGACAGTTTGGACAAGTGATGTGGAAGTTCAAATGAAGAAGAGACTTTAAAAGGAAGGCTCTCCTCTCTTGATGCTACAAGATAGCATCACTACTTCTTCAGGTGGCGCGTGGAAGACGACTCGCTCCCAATCTCGTCCTCATCCCACGACTTCGGGATGACAGTTGTGACAATTGTCTTCTTGATCCCTCCGAATTGGTTTTGGTTTAGATTGTCTATCAATTCCTTGTGACCACCATAGCTGTCTGAAATAGTGGCGCTAATATGTGCTGCATTACCAGCCGTTGCACATGGTGCATCACCACGTGGAATCAAGTTCGTCTGGGCAATGAAGGATTGTCACTCACATGGTATGGCAATCCTCTACGTGGAGCTTTGACTCAAGCTTTCAAGATGTCTTTGTCGGCTCCACAACTTCAAAATGCTGGGAGTTGCATTCGTGCCACCATAGTCTGGCGTTATGCCATTTTCCAAGTAAGTCCTGACAGCGCCGTCGGAATCGAGACCAGTCGGCGTTGTGAGGATCCGCGCGCTCGACGAAAGACCTCAATGATTTACCAATTCGTGTCCGTTGAATAACTCGAGGACTAACCTCCCTCAAAGCCTCGAGTCTCGAGAGCGAACGAATGGCTCTTGCTAGCTCTGTTGGCTCAATGCGACGCTTGGTCGGTAGTCTTCGTTCCAGCTTGCAGCGAAGCCCATAGACTGCCAAACGTCAGATTGTGGGTCATCTAAACAGACCAGAATCGTAGCAGGTTTTGAAGGGGAGTTCTATGAGTAACCAGGGCTCAGTACTATCCGGGCTTGAACTGACCATAAGTTTCCGTGGCTATCAGCGGACTACTACGTCGGGCAGCTCGGCGCGCTCTCTCGCTGAGGGTGATTGCTGTGCTTGCCTGCCTTGTACCGATTGGTGTTTTTGGGCACGAGCGGGTATTTGCCTATTATCCGTCAGACAGTGAACGAGCGGAGGATGCACGCTTACAATTTCGCGGGCACCAATGTCCATGGCCGACACCTGCCCTTGTGTTTTCTGCTCCCGGCTGAGAAATTTCAAGGCTAGACAGTGCTACCTTCGCACAATGTTTCCCCCGTCGACGACGACGCTCCACTTCCATCCAATGGAGTCGAGTGGCGGACCCTATCTGCAACAGTGTAGATAGCCAACTGACCTTCGGTTCAGAGCAATGCCACAGTGCAGCACAGTCGGCTCGGATATCCAGAATATGAGTCCACTGCGGGAGGCAGGTCCTGTTCAGAACACCATCCAGAGTGTCGCAATCAACGATCTGCAGGTGTGTGCTGGGCATGATCTCTTCCAAGCTTTCCGAACCAGAGTCACCCATGCCCAACAACCTCTCTGCATCAAACCGTACGTAAAGCCATGCAAGCAAGACAAACTGACGCGCAATTTCCGATGCCCTGACCTCAAGTAACAAAGCTGGCTCGCGTCTAGCGGGATTGGCCAAACGGACGTAGGCATATACCCCAGCTGCATATTCTTGGCCGGATACCACGATGTTATCGACGCGATTTAGCAGGTGCCAGGCCAGAAGTCCTCTTACTCGTCCTTTGACACGAAAGCTTCCATATTCTGGGCGTTCGACAATATAGTGACTATTGACGAGGGGAACGTGGCTTTCTGTATCGGCATGTGATAATATTCGACGTCGCGATGACGTACAAAATTCGTCATCTGAAACCTCGAGATTATGCATTGAACTCTGGATTGTGTAAACTCAGCCCCAACAGTTCCCCCAAACTCTGTCCTCTGTCGAGGGTTGTCGCAGATCTATAGACTGCAGAGACTGTATCGGATGCTATCCCGTACACAGCTAGTGTTTCCACATCTATCTTCTGATGTATGGTGGTGTTCAGGCGACAGACAACTGCGATTGCTTTTCAGCCTTCTGAAGGCTTCATGGAGAGCATTCGGCCGGTTGCATCCTTAGTCATCGCTTCCAAGGTTTCACTTTGATCCTGTTCTAGCGGTAAACCGAGATATTTTGATGGAGGGTCGTGATGGGCGGACCTTCATGAGGCTCAATGCTCTTTCGAGAGAACAACACAAAGGGAGGATGTGGAGTGAGGGTCCTGGATTTGTGCACGCGGTGCCTGATACAGTGCTCGTAAATTTGACCGTGCGTTTTTGGACAAACTGAACCATCAACGCTTAGGAAATGCAACTCTGACTTGAAGATAACACATGTTTGGATTGAGTTGTGTTGGAAGTTAGATGGCGTTGCGCAGCCACCATGGCGGAGAAGTTTTGCCACTTATCACCGCCTTTATCTGAACCACGAGGCAAATCACGTGTCTGTCTGAATAGGATCAACCAAAGTACTGATACTTGCCTTTCATTCCCAGAACAACCTCATACGCGGCATGTCATCGCCGCAGCACTAGGCGCTGGTCTTTCCATTGGGCAGGGCAGCCGTTGTCACACGACTCTCGAAAGTGACACTTCCTGTACGTTCCACGGATGGGCGCTTGCAGCAACTTACCGGCTAGAGCATCGTGTGTTGGCTTTAGTGTTACTAGATATAATATGGAGGACTGGACGTACAATGTAATCATCGCCACGCATTGTCACCATAATGAGTCCCTCAGAAACTAGAAAACGTCGCGACCATCGGAAGCCGTCAAAGGCTTTTCTGCGACCATCGCACCACGGTAGCGCATCGCATCTACCGAGCCCAAATTCTCTTGTCAAATGGACGTTGGAAGAGTCTTGTTAGGATCGATCATACCGGACGCTACACGAAGCACTAGACTACATAATAAGACTCCGTGGGATGTTCTTGCCCCAACCTAGTCCCCCTCCTATTCTACCACGTTGTACCACACATTTACCGGCTAGGCGCCCTCAGCAAGGCCATTTCGACCATGCGAACGTGGCTTTCGCAGCAGGTGATCCCGCGTCTTTCGGACAGTCACCTGCTCCAAGGAACGGAAATCGAAGGGCTCAAACAGGGCATTCCGTGAGAAAACGGCGCTTTCGACCAGAGTTCGTTCTGTAATCCAGGCATTCATAGCGCAAAGAAGCGCTAATGGTTCTACTTACCCCAATCGTGAGTGGGTCCAATGCAGACAGTTTCCATATATGCATTTGCTGAGGCCCAAGCAGCCAATGCGAGATAGCGGCTGTTAGTATTCCTAACTCTGCGGACCATATCACCGTTTGGCAGTTGATTAGTCAAGAGTGGTACGCAAACCGTGCAAATTGGAGACGATATCTCCCTTTCCTAAATGTTCGACAAATTGAGGTCGTGCGGGTATGCGGAAACGATTCAGTGATATGTCGATTTGCAGCAGGCTAACCTTGACGTATCTCGATCGCGGGACCCTCACGTCCCAGAAAGTATCATGATTCCAAAACCATACAACTTTGTCTTCCAGTGGATCGGCACCATCCCGTGTTATCACATGATTCTTCTACCCGTGTTGTGTTCACAGTGAACAACGAATGCATTCTAAATGTTCCAATCCCGCTAGTGACACCAGCTGTCACACTGGACTAGTCAGCATCTAGGCTGATCTCTTTACCAATGTCAAGTATTCTACCATATGCCCTTCTTGGGGTGCCGATCAGATCATAGGCTAGTGCACCAATGACACACATGAAAGTGGCCAAAAACTGCCAGAGAACCATGAGCAAGTCCCCAAGACCCCAAGGCAAGAGGAACTTGATCCATTCACTCGTCTGGTACAGATCGTTTTGTGACTGGATGTAATATTGCTCGTGTTGGATGCTGCCGTCCGAGCTGGACGTTGCGAGATTGGGAGATGGAGATGGAGGAGAGGCAAGAACGCTGAACTTGTTGTGAGTTGGGATGGCGGTCGACTTCTTCTTGGCATTAAGGGGGCTGATGATGACCACTTTCTTCCTGCCTTTGTTGGGAGTGGTGTCTACTCGTTCAAATTCCGGTAAAATTGTTGTATTTGCGATGTCATCAAGGTTGTTGCCCTTCAAGTGGTCGGGGTCATAAACGGTGCTTGATTCTGAGCCAAGCAACGTCGAGCCTTTGACAAGCTGCAGAACTGTGACCAAGTTGACGGGTGCATTGTAAAATGGAACAAGCCAGATCTTGAAATTCTGATGAATGGAGACGTAAAGCAGTAGCTTCTCTTCGTCGAACGCTGGTCTCCTGTCAGCCGGTATTACTCTGAAAGATCAGGTGCCTGGGGTTCAAGACTTACCCACACTATCGACCGAAACATCAATCTGAGGGCTGAGGATCTTGTACCAACGATAGATCTGGGCGATAAGCCACCTCGACCATGTACTACTGCCTGTCCGGCAGAATGGATGAGTGAATGAAGCCGTGGATGTGAAGTATGACTCAATAGTATCTCGTTGGGTATCTGGTGATGCTGTGCATAAAGCTCGGATGATGTCTGGAATCTCCGCCACTGTCGCAGTGTGTCAGCCTCCTGGTCCTTGACCGGTTCAAGAGCTTGGTATTACCTGGATCATCCATGATGAGAACACGGTAAAATGGATGCCTCTCTCTCTGTATGTCTCCTGTCAGAAAACGGCCCTGGTGCCTTCTCTAAGCGAGGCTCCGGCGAATGGGCAGATGTCAAGAAAGTGTATGGTTCAACTTGTTGAACGGGGTCCGAGTCTCAATATTGGGATTTTGGTACTAAATGGGGAGGAATATGAACTTTCTGTAGCGGCTCGCGTCTGTGCAACCGTGCCTTCCTCATGTTTGGGCATTCGAGGTTATGGAAAGAGCAACACCTAAAGGTAAAACTTCATCCACGAGTCAAGATGACGTCACTTTATTTATTCTTTTCACATGTGGTTTTAGAGAAGCCGCGAGAGCCGCCCGTCATCTCTATAAAGTTCGATTCCAGATGCTTGTAGGGAACACACGGGAGTAGTGTGTGCCCAAATACAGTATGATGAGGAGCTATCATTAGAATGGTGGGCGCACGCTGAGAGAGCTCCGGCTATCAGATATGCTCAGTCGAGGTAGCTGCTCTCATAACCAAGCCCATTCCGTAGCCGATCCTCCTTTTCCACGATCTTCCGAGGCAAGTTCTTCCCAATACCGAAGAAAACAAACAAAAACCATTTCCACCGGAACGGGTTGATCAAAGTGATGAATACAAACCAATATATCAGCTCCGAGTACGTAAAGAAGTCGAATGCATCAGTCGGGGCCAACGACTTGACAGTGCTGGTGAAATTCACCCATCGTTTCATCCACCGTGGCCGGGGAGTTGTCAATGGATCGACGAGGAACATTAACAGCATCCGAGTGTATATTCCTATGTGATACGATCCCACGGTTCTGCAAGCACGGTTAGTTCTAGATCTCCGAAAAATAGTATTTCCATGAGAGACTTACCCGATTGCTGCAACGTATGTTGAATTGATTGCACAGATGGAAGGCGCATTGGGTGGAAAACATTGCACAAACCAACGTGGAGGCAGGAAACCATCCTGGAAGGCCTCATCTGGTAGGAATTCCAGACTTGGCCTCTTGTAACCCGTTGCCAGGATGATCATATCACCTTCAATGAGCCGGTGTCGTCCAACTCCACCTTTTGGAACTCCTTGGGCTCGATGGTTGAAACAAATCCCATTCTCACGAACTTCTTCGATATCTCCACGAAGCCAAGATGCTTTTCCTGCCCGTATTTGATTGAAGATCTCGGAGTTGACCATGGGTGTTTCGGTGAAAAGACCTTTGCCGGGAGGTGCGATGTCTTTCAAGTCGCGATAAAATAGAAGCCGGATCAGATTCTCTGGAATCCATGAGAGGAATGTCTCTTGCCCGAATATGTTGAAAGCAAGGAGCGTATCAATAAAGGCGTTCCTCGGAATTATCCATTTCTCCGAACGAGCAAGGACGCTGATCTTAGAAGCCCCGGTCTGAACTGCCCACTCCAGAGCCTCGACTGCGCTCGCTCCTCCTCCAATGATGACAATCTGCTTTCCCGAAGCATCTTTGTTATCGAGATCCGAAGAGTGAAAGATCTCTCCATTGAAAGCCTCTTGACCAGGTAGGCCTACCATTTTCGGAGCGCCACAAGTCCCTATGGCTGGTATGATGCCATCGAAGCGGCCTTGGAAGGAGTCATTGACGATCCAACGCCCCAGCTCGTCCTTGTAAATCTTCTCCACTCGGGTGTTGAATTTCGTCTTCTCTGCAAGATCATAGCGTTGCCACACCTGCCGAACTTGGTCAACTATCTGGTTTTGTTTCGGATAGCCACCTTCCCATTTGATCGATGGATGAAATCTGTACATGAGACTATGAATCTGAAGGCCGGAAGTGGAATTGACTCGGGACCAGATACCGCCCACACATGACTCGTCTCCGGCCTCGAATAACGTGACATCAAATCCATGGCCAACACAATGAGCAGCTGCGGAGACACCCGTCAGACCTGCACCAATAATGGCGATCTTAGGACGACGTAAGCGTATTCCAGGTGCTGGTGGTGTGGGCGAGAAAACTTTGCCCAGGAACCACTGGAGCAAATTGTAAAGCCAAAGGATCGGAGTGAATGCCATCTTCGCAGGTGAGTGATATCGCACTCGGGAGGATTTCATTTGAAGGAGGACAGGCAATATAAATATGTGCCTCATGGACTAAAACGTCATTATGCAGGCACTACAGTCTCAGTTTGCTCCGGAAAGATCCGCTGCATCAAGAGTCCCCTCTTCAGTCAACTCACAAGAGCCGCGCGGACATTATTAGTTGGTTACGAATCTCGATGAAAATGTTTGGTACCACCCCCATAATTATTTAAACTTGAAGGTGCGCTGCACCTTCTGAGAGCCTCCCTTTGAAGTACCGTGATGGCATGATGAGAATATCGTATGGGGTTCTTCTCACTGAATACCAATCAATGACAAGTACACGATTCGCTAACTGGACCGTACGGCCCAGGGACTTGTGACGACCCAAGCTGAAATCACGAAAGCCTCCTTAGCTGAAACTCGACATAGACCTACACCCAACACTGGGCATGGTGAGTAGCATTTCGCTCACTGCTAAAGGTCTATCGCAACAACAATTTGTCATTACACAGAAATTAAACACGCTGGATAAGAGAGATTGATCTCTGAAGTGTGCAATCTTTCAGAGGCACGCCGAATAATGTATTGAATTGGAGGAAGCAAAGGACTCTGCATTCCGCTTCTTAGTCACGGTACCCCTCGTACAGTCATAAGCGACTTACCCACATTCACAGAGTGCCACTCCGGGCGGCATCGCCCTATGTGGCTCTAAGGGACCCTCGGGACACATACTTAAGTCACTTAAGCTAGTTAACCAACCAACCAACCGACCAACCAACTAGTTTGTTAGCGTCGCTAGCTTAACTAACCATGTGACATGTTGACCCCTCCCGTGCCTTAAGGTAAATGCCTAAGTTATGCAGGGTGCGGGTTAAGGGGCACCTAGAAGCATCCCACGGCTCGCTGGGCTATGCTAACTGGTAAACACTGATTCATTTCCGACACTTGAATGAACTCGTCTGGACTATAAATTAAGATATCATTGCCCGAGAAGCAAGGCAGATCCACAAGCTCAATGCCAATTCTTAGTTAAACCACATTTGGCGGCTATTCCTTCATCTGCACAAGAGACAGACACAAGTGACTTTCACATGCGGCGGCCCAGAGGCTCAGAGACAATTCTCAGCCTTGTCATTCTTTCTACCTCGACACTATGTTTCACCGCTTCCTGAATGTTAGGAACTCATCGCATAAATCTGCGGCTGCTATCTGTGCATCATCGAAGTTGCCTTTTGACCTCTCGAATGTCTATTTGAGTCTTGCGGCTCAGAAGGGCTTTCGTGGAAAATTGGTGACCGTGGCCACGAGAGAGAAAAGAGGAGGGGAAAGCACTCCCACGCCCAGGTCGGCAAGCCTCGGCCTGGGCAGCCACAGGCGCTCCGCTGAAACAAGAGCTTGTTACATGTTTACCTAGGTACGCGAATAGTTTCGACCCTAGCGGTTGCAAATGCGTGGTGCCATTATTACCTCATTTAACGCTTTCAGTTGTACGCCTGCGATTTTCCTGAAAGCGACTGCGTCGGAGATAAGTTCGTAGGGCCGATCAGTCGCCTCTTGGCGGCACTTTGAACAAATACACAATCCCGGTCGCTGTCTTCCGCGATTGTTCCTTCTCATGACCGCTGTGACGACAGAATCCACAGAACTCTTCCATTCCAGGGCCACCTGGGGTTCCGCATTCGTTCGGACGGCTGACCAACAGCCTTTGTCTGGGTGCGCGCTGAACGTCCCATATATGAGCTGTACGGAACATCAAACCTTTTATTGTTTAAGGAGGAGAACATTATCCCTTGAGTCGTCAGGTGGTGACGTTTTGTCTTGGCGCCACCCCAACTCAAAACGCGTTTTATGCTTCCAAGTGAACAAAGGCTACAAAGATGACTCAAACTACGCGTTCTGGTAGAGTTCCTACCAAAAAAGTACCATGGGAAGAACGAGAAATTCTCCCTGTAATTGCAGCTACAAAAAAAAGCGAAAAAAGTCATGTGCAAGTACTCGAAACTCGTGCCGCAAGCCTAAATGCTCCACCAGTAATTCATGAATTGGCCAGTGAACCTCACGCGCCATTTACTCCACCAATTCGCGTCGCAAATGAGCCATTCCAAGTGCGTATTGAAGCCCGTGACCCACTGAGTCTATTTATATACTTTTTGAGTGGGTTTGAGGCACTTTCAGTGGTGTGCGCAGCGACGAATGCGGATGCAGAAAAATCACGTGCCGCCGCAAAATCTAATCAAACTCCTCGACCTTGGGAAACTCTTCGACCTATTGAGCTACTCCACTGGCTCGGAGGGCTCTTTTATATGGCCAATCATACTGAACATAACCGGAAGGCCTATTGGGAGAGCTCAGAGCTCGGAAATACTCATCAAATTAGTCGAATAATGACCGAAACTCGTTGGGATCAAATTCATCGATTTCTGACCTTAAATCCTCAACCACGCACGCCTAATGAGTCTCCATTTAGTCGCGTTGAACCTATCGCTAGTGCGATACGACGCAATTGCCAAAATGCGGTCAAAGCGTCAACTTAGGTTGCTATTGATGAGGCAATGGCTGGATATACTGGACGCGCCAAAGAGACAGTGAATCTGCCATCAAAGCCCACGCCAAAAGGATATAAGATATGGATTTTAGCTCTCCAACATGGATACGTATACTCCTGGCGCTGGCACTCACTCATTGACGCCCGGAAGGTATTAGTAGGAGCTCGCGAAAGGTATATCAACCAGTGCCAATGGTGCCTGTAATATTGGCACCTACTTATCTAGTGGGTCAGGACCTTTATCAGGAACTACAAACCAATGAATTTGGTGTAAAAAGACTAGTATTCCTTGACAACTTGTTCCTGACACTAGCATTGGCACATACTCTCCTATAAATGGGTGTAGGAGTAATAGGCACAACACGCAAAAATCACAAGGATTTCCCACAACGATTTATCGACGCTAAGCACTCAAATACGCAATTCTCGTACGGCTCTTGCGCGACAGAGGTCATTAATCATGCTCTATGCTTTCTCTGGCAGGATAAGGCCGCAGTTATAGGCATTCCGACCGCTCTTACCATCCAGGAAGTCCCCGAGGACTATATCGTCAAGCTCCGCAAGAGGCCCTATAACAATACGGTTGCGCGCGGAGTTTTTGGCCCTGAATCAACTAAAGAGTTGCCCATACCACGTACAATTAACTAGTATAATAGCAATCATAATCTGGTTGACGTGGCTGATCAATTACGTGGTAACTTTACGGTCCAGCGACCAGGGGAAAGAAGGACTTGGAGACCACTCGCTTACTGGCTTTTGGACACTTGCCTAACAAATTCCTACCTACTCTGGTCTTCCTGCCAGTCTCCTGATGCCCTGTCAGGCCGTAATTCCCGCAGAACCTTCCGTGAAGAGTTGATTTTGCAGATATTTGCGTTACAGGAGCCAAAACGCGATACCACCTGAATCACTGCTCGTTAGAGATGCCTAATCGAGGCTTTTGCGCTTGGAAAGGTCCAAATGGTGATAACTGCGAGTGTGGAGTGGCTGTGACGAGAGGTATGCCTCGTAAAGTGCTCGTGGAGGTCTCTGGTAATGCGCAACGATTTCGTGCTCGGAAACAGTCAAAACGCACTCGATTTGGCTGCAAATTGTGTGACGTGCATCTCTGTAGACGAAATAATTGCCATGAGAAGTTTCATGGTTTACTCTATATTAATTAGGTAGTAGCATGCAAAGTCGGACAGTGCACCTAGCATTTAGTGTGCCCAGCACAAACCCACTCTAGGACTTTCTTGCTTCCACGAACCCCGTTCTACCCTGCTAACATGTCCCAGGCATCGCAAGGGCGCCTCCTATGACTGTAGGCGTGAGCCAGTGCCTCATGCCTCCTATGACTGTAGGCGTGAGCCAGTGCCTCATTAAACACCTACGTTAACATGTAGATCTGAATATACGGGTGTCGTCCTACCCCGGCAAATCATCGAGCTCAAAGTCCCAGCCCATCATTCCTCATAGACACTGTGCTTACAAAGGATGCTGGGTTGCGCAATGTCCCACCGTCCTGAATATCTTTTGTACACGGGGCACAATGAGAATTTCCTCCTCTCGGATGATCAACACCCCATCTCGGGCGCCCTCCACTGTCATATCGCCAGCGACACGTTCTGGCAGCTGGTGTTGTACGTCGCGGCCAACGAGCCCGGCCAGGGTGTGAGATAGCCATCGGTAAACGGGATGGCCGGCAAGGAAGACCTGACTGTGGGGTAGACGGCTCCAGGCCTCTCCATCATGGCAGACATGTCATAGAGGGTCGGATCGGGCATGTTGTGGATGGGATGCGGGACGTTGGGCGATATCGTGCACAAGCTCGCGTCCAGATAGGTGTGCAGATCAAAGGTCAAGTTCGACGACTCGTCCATGCGGGTGTAAACAGCACCATCCGAGGTGGAATTGC